TGTACTCACTTTAGGCATTGTAAAGTCAAACTGAAGTCTTATAACGCCCTCCACATATATAAATAGAATACTTCTAAGCCCTCCAAGAAAGAATGGGATGTATATACCTTATAGTAAGACGGAGTACAATAGGAGAATACCCGTTACACTTGCCTCCCTCCTGCCTCGACTGGGAAAGGCCGGCTTGCCAGGTCATAAATGCTGCATTTCACAAATTTTCGCCTTTGTAACTGCAAGTACAGTCCAGTAAAAAATATGGTTTTTAATACGAACTTCATGTACTTGAACTCTATTCCACATTGAAGCAACAGTCCAGCCTGAAATTTATTTTGTAATACTAAACATTATGGAGCCGAAATTTTACATTATATCAAAGAATTGTTTCTAAAATGACAAAAATATGACCTTATTTCAAAATTATGCCAAAATATGCTGTAAAACCAATAAAACTCTAAAATATGCATTTATATGCACAATAAAAACGACATAATTTCAATAAGAATGACTGGAAACATGCATAATTACATTTAAAAATAGGAATAAACCCTAGGAAAAAATATGACATGTCATAGAAATCCGGGCCCTAGTAATGAATTATGCAAGAAAGGCACCATGAGCAAATTTGAGGAAATTTGCCTGGTGGGATTCAGGAAAACGACGAAAATTCTGACAGAACAGCTGATCTCCAGTTAGAAATTTGAACATGGTGGCTTCAAAACAGGAAACAGGAATATTACCCCCTTGACTGGGATGTTTGGTTTATCTTGTTGAATTGTTGGTATTAATATTAATTTAAATGAAATATTTATTTTGAATAAAAATGATATATTCCCATTGACCGGGTTCAGAGTTTGTGGAAAGTATGGTAAATACTGTTGTGTTGTATTTAATGCTTGTATCTGTGAAGGGTATTTCCTTTTATGAGAGAATTGTGAGTGCCCATTAAAGTAAGATTTATCAAACCGTGGAAAATGTTTTATTTTGCCAACTATTGGAAGCAGGTGGTAATGATTTAGATAAATATGCCATACTAATAAACATATACAGGTGTTGGACAAAATAATTGAAACTCTGCAGACACTCTACACGTTTCGTTAACGTGATGGTGGACCACCTTTTGCCTTAAATACAGCCACAATCCTTGGAATGGACTTGTACACGTTTTGAACAGTCTCTAGTGGTATTTTACACCATTCTTGGAGAACATCTTCAAGTTGCTTTAGAGCTGTTGGAGGTGAGAACCTGTTCCATGCTCTAGTCTAAAAAATTGACTAGAGTGGTTCAGTGATGATCAAATGTGGTGACAGTTTTTTCGAGGGAAGAGGGTGAAGTATCTTCAGAAAATACATGCACTAGGGTCCCAAACACAAAATATCAGTTGTCTCGAAAATGGCTTTAACAGTTCGACAAATCTTATTCCTGCTCCCTGTGTTGTGTATCAGGTACCAACAGTGATCTACCAGACAACACTATTATCTTTCCAAGGTAATATAGTCAAGGTCAGTTGTATGTGAGAAAGTATGTGCATTGTCTGCACAAATTTTTCACCAGTGTGCAAATTACTATACTTTGTAATCCACCCACTGCACTTCAAAGGCCAGAAGATGGATGGGTAACATCCATTGTGTACATTGAGACTGACTTCATGGGCACAGTGAAATGACCTTACTGAGTCTGACTTTACATTTTCCAGGTAGTTCTATCCTTTGGGAATTTAAATGAAATTCCTAAAGCATAATGTATGCAACACAGACAAAGTCTCAAGGGCTTGATATGAATCACATAGAAGTGGGTTGTGAGGATGAGAAATGGATGGTATTTGCACAGTTGTAGGCTTTGATATTGTTAATTTTGAACCTTCAGGTATGTTTGCATATAACTGTCAACATTGACATGCCTCTGAATCTCCACATTACTTCGAATATAAGACACCTTCACATTTAAGATGCATCCAATTTTTAAATGAGGCTTTTGGGAGAAAATTAGAAAGTTGTATTTATTTCAGTATGTTTATTTAGAACACATCATTTAAAATAACGCATTATTTAGAACAAATTTAAAGTGAAAAGTAATGGAAAATATACCAGAATGAAATGGAAATTTAAAAATTTCGCTACATGCATATTTCTTTAATCAGAAATTTCAATCAGTAATCCTTCTGTCGCACTTTCATTTCCTGAAGATGATGCACCCTTGCAACTTTGTTCACTGTTCTCCCAAGGAACATCATCTTGCATTTCAGCTTCCACATTAGACAAACAGCACTTTAAAAATGAGTTTGGAATGTTATTGATGGGCACTTCTTTCCAAGCTTTTGATATCCACTCCATTATTTTTTATGCTGATGCTCTTTGCCACTAGATGTCAATGTATGATTGTTTTTATTCACCCAGTCATCATAGTGTTTCCAGACAAGATGCTTGAATTGTTTGTTAATTGACACATCAGGTGGTTGTAATTGACTTCTCATGCAACTAGGAATTATCACTATTCCTTAACCTTTTTCTGATTCTCTTGTAGAGATGGCCATGAAATGCATCCATTGCAAGGGTACTCAGTGGCTTTGAGAAAGTCCCAGGCCAATGTTCCCATGCACATTCCAATGTTATCCATGCATTTTATTGGGCCTGAACTATTACATCTTTTGCAGATTTTTTTTGTCACTGTCTTTCTATTTAATATTATGTATGGTGGAAATTTATTGCCATTTGTGGTTATACACAGCATTACAGCAACACGTAACTTTTCATAGCCTGTGGTTTTCATTGCCACTTGTTTTCTTACAGTATAATTATGAGGCACGTCAGAAAAACCGCAGTCTTGTCTGCATTGCCAATTTGACTTAAGGAATACTTATTTCTTCAGTGTAGTCAAATAAGATGCTGAATTTCAATCAGTTTAATTTCAGATTCTAAAGGAAGTTTTTGACTAATTTTCATCCTTTGTCATGAAGATAAACCTTGAAAGGTACATTACTGTTTTTAGCACATTCTTTTGCTTTTGACATCAAGGCTTCCCTAGTTACAGATAATCCTTTATTTTGTATATCCATAAAATGGGCTGCACCATGGCTCAAGTGGTTAGTCGCTGGCATCCCACTGCTGCTGCCTGGGTTCAATCCCACGTCTGATCATGTGGGATTTCTGGTGGACAAAGTGGCGATTTCCCCTGCCAATCTTCATTGCACCAAATTCTCCATCATAAACACCTGGGGCAGGCTACAATAGGCCAATCAGTGGCCGCCATGCCGAGTGGACTCCACCCCCCGCTAAGCAAATTTTAAAAAAGAAATCTATAAAATACTCTAAAATCAAGGCATCAGAATGAGGAATTCACCCTTTCTTTGCTCCAGAAAAAGGATTTCTGTTTGTCAGACATGAAAATAGTTTTGTTTTTATACTTTGCCAATGACATACACATTCCTCACCTACTGTATACTTTCTGCTAGCTGCACAATTACCCATCTGTTCAGCATGCAGAATAACTTTTCTTTTGAATGTGGCATCATATGTAAAATGCTTTTTCATGAATAAAAATTGATAGAAAATTGAACACACTTGAACAGTAAGAATGTCAGGCAGTGACTGAGCTGAAATTTGGGGGTTTAAGTTAAAGGTGGGGTGGGTGATGCAGCTTTATGATTCACCCCGAATGTGTTTACATTATGTTCTTTCCAGGCTACCCTGTGGACAGTTTTTGAACTGGTGAATAATCCCTTGAATTTAAGATAAACCTCAGTTTTTCAACTGAAAAAAATGTACATCTTTGAAGTAATAGTACATTCAGCATTTAACTGTAGTAACCACAGTTACTCACCTCCAGCTAGTGCCAAGGTCAAGAAACTATGGATCTATACATCCACTCCTCCATATGCCTTCATGGCGTAGTGCCTAATTCATTGAGCACAGAGACAACCTTTACCTTCTACCACAGTTGTACATAATATTGGTAATGTCTTCATTAAAGGTATGTTTGGGACATTCAGGACCATGCAGTATGGCAAGTTGCAAAGAACACACATGAAAATTCTCTGTACTCAGGTGCAAATTGTCTTTCTAAGCATGTTCAAATTTGGAAGCGTTAAATCAACCAAAGATGTTTATTTAGTTTGTTCATTAACATAATGACTCCCATAGTGAGCACAGTGCTTCCCACAGATCCTGTATCTTGTACCAGGCCAGTGACCAGTGTCTACCCTGTTACGCTTTGATATGTTGTCATGCAACCATGTGATCACATGTAAGCTTTAACAGAGAAGGAACCACAGAACCATCCAGTGTGAAGCTCTTATTGCTGCCTGCTTCATGTTGGTTTCTTTGCATACTCTTCAGCCCTGAAGATGGAAGTGATATGTTCTTCTGAAACATTGGTTGATTTTTGCTGGAATATATGGAGTCATATCCCAGAGAACGGGACTCATAATGACCACCACTGTGAGAACCTCAAATCCTACATTAACTTAACTATATTCAGAAGTAATTTATTAATTTATTTATTTCAGGATTTGTTGGTATGAATATATGCAAATCTAGAAGTTAACTGAATTAGAGCCTCTTCTCTCCATTCTTGAGCAAGAGACCAGTAGAGATTTGAGGTTTTCATGGTGATTAAGATTCAGATAGTTGTCTTCTGGGGTATGAATGATTGCTCAGTTGTTTTTCAGTGTTAACAGTGAAGCAGTAGGAGTGGATTTTGGGTTGCCTGCCTCATAGCATCATTTTGGTACCAACCCCATGCTGTGGTAAATCTAGTATCAGGGTTGTGACGGTTGTAATAAAGAGGTTGTATATCAGAGAATGAGATTAATTTCATTTTAATATATACTTAAAATATATTTTATTCTTTAATTTCTACAGCTACTACATCAACTATTTTAATAAAACAACAACATGGGAAGATCCAAGGCTTCGATATCGTCAGCTGGCACAGCCCACTCCACAGCAAGTTCCATCCTCTGTTCCAGAATCCATTCCCATGCAGGTATGTACATCTGTGTGAACATCTTTCATCACAAACATTTTTCATTGAAGTTCATTTCAGTCATTTATGAATCCAACATAATAAATGGTATGAAAAAGAGTTATTTTATTTTTAAACATTTTAATTTTACTTTTAACGTTTTGGATATTGAGTTTGAGACCAGTAACTCACATTCACATGTCTGGTTTGTTCTTGTACAAGACTTATGTAACTGCTGCTGTATGATGTATGCTGCTACTTTTGACTGCAGTGGAGAAAAGTAATGTGACAGCTGGGGAGTTTATGACCCATAGAGTTATAGGCATTTGTTGAATGCAGGGGAGTAGACTATCACTCATACTCAACAGTATACGGTTTTGCTTAGTGGATATTCCATAAATGACAGGCAAGGTTGAAGACATGGAAAGGAACTAGTAAACTTATGATCAGAAATTCATTCATGAAGGCACAGAAAGTAAAAGATTTAAGCGCACATTGTGGTTTATCATCGGTTTTTTGAGGGGTTTTTTTTTTTTTTGCATGAAGTGCATGGAATGAGCACAAAATTGGGACATCATTTCTATTTGTCTGACTGCATGTAACATCACCAAAGCTTTCCAAAAGGAATTTGAATTTGGTATTATGGTTCTACGTTAAGATTTTATCTGAATTTCATTTTCGTATTTATGGATCTGCTACAAACCCCAGATTATGTGAAGTTTAAATTGACCTTGCCATATTTCTTGCAGATGGCTTATCATGCAAAAATATTGTGTGTGACAAAAATTGTAGGTCTTGTTAACATCCATAACTTTTATTTGAAAAATATTTTGATGTGTACATTAACACAGTACAAGGAGATATTAATATTTATGTCATTAATCATCAAAGTATAAAGGTGGCTAATAAACCCTTTGAAACTCTAGCAAATATAAAATATTTGGGAATGATAGTAAATCGAAATTAATACGGAGAAATAAAGAGGAAATTAAATTTGTGGACAGCATGATACCGTTCAGTTCAGAATACATTGTCTTGACACAGCTGATTTAAAATGTAAGAATTAAAATATAGAACGTTTTAATTTTACCTATTATTTATATGGGTGTGAAACTTGGTCTCTGACCCTATGAATGGACAGAGACTGAAGATGTTCGAGGACAACCTCTAAGAAGAATGTCTAGAGTTAAGAAAGAAGAAATACAGTGCAGTGGCATTTTATGCAAGGATGGTGAAAGTTTGCACTAACTTCGCCGACAAGCGGCGGTCGCTTGCTCAGTTGGTATAGTTTGCTTGCGGACTAAAACCATGGAATTTGTTTTTTGTTTGCACTCCTGAAGACCTCGCATAATTCAGTACAAGTTTTTTCATAGGAATCCTGCTGATTTTTTTGGGATTCGCACTGTTTCAAATTTTGCACATAAAGTGAGACTTTATTAATGTTTTTCATATTGCACTATTTCAGATACGTATAATTTAAGTTCACATAAAGTTCGACCACACTGTAATGGAAGATGGGAAGACTACATAATGAAGATCTTCATGTGTGAGGTTTGAGGTGCTCATGATAATGGCTGTGAAGAATACTGTCATATCACATTGCGGACCAGTGGTTTAAACATTTAAATCACCCTGGGGACCGGCGTTTTTAAACCTACTACCCTAACTTGTGCACTGTTCACTTTAAAAATTAATATAAAATCTCCTAATTAATTTTATGAACTGAAATTTTTGGAGAACACTTACCAGAGCTCCTAGAAGTGCTTGCGCATGTGATATCTCTGGAAACATTCCCCTTTGTGAAGAGGCATTACGCAGAAGTTGCACATGTAGGCAGTTCTACTCTTCTTCTTGTGCTCTGCGCACACACGGCACTGCCTAGAAGGGTGTTTCTTCTTGCAATATTCACTCTTCACAATTTTCACGAGAATATGTTTCCGCATATCACCCGAGAGTCGGCCAGGGGGGTCTACTTGAGGCCTCTGATGGATGCGAACAGATGGCCCCGGCTGCACTACGTCTGTGTCTGATGCAGGTACTGCCGCCACCGTGATGTCAGTAGCCCAAGCTTTTGCCAGTTTCAGCAGAAATGCTTTGTATTTCAGAGTAGAATTTCTGTTCACCTTTTTGAAAAACGTAAATTAATTGAAAATTGCACAGTTTATAAGCTACAGTGCAACTTTCTTCGTCCATTTTACTGTTTTCCAAGGAAGGGAGTAATAGGCCAAGAACTGGTCGGCCCTATCAACTACTTTCATGAACATTATACTCGGAAATACAAAGAGGCTTCTTTACTTGCACGTGTCGTCTTTGAACATCGACCATGCTCGAATTGTGAATAGTGGAAACCATATTCACAACGCGAGTATCCCTCCAGGACTGAAGAAGAATGTCCCCCTTCCGTCAAAGAAACTATCTCCAAAAAACACTGACGCAACTTGAGACACGTCCGTTGGGTCCGATGGCATCTGCTTCACCCCCGGATCACCAGTAAACTTTCCCAAAGTGGGGGTTTTGTCCACTTTATCCCATGTAGCTGTCCCAACACTCGCACTTTCAACGGAGCTCTCACTTTCACTTGACACATTTTGGGCAGCCCTGTGGCCCCCGTCACTGTCACTGTCACTGATAATGGCCTCGCTATCAGAAGACGAAGCAGTTGGCAAATCTGATAGCTCATTGGAGAACATATCTAATATTTCCTGTCCTCCGAGAGATCGCAACTGCTTTCGTCTCTCAGCCATGTTGAACTGGTAGTTGCGTGGTTCATACATGCAAGCTTGGATTAGAACAAAGCCAATTTTGTTTAGGTTGTGACAGGAAATGACTCTGGTCGAGTTGCTAGATAAGGCAGCAATCATTCCCGAGGTCATCTACGCAGTAGTTACGATTCAGCGAAGCCACACAGTGATATATAGCATTTTGCAACATAACGTGACCATAGAGGGCCATATGGCCTGACCGGTCCGCAGCGCTTGGAAACGTAGAGGGCCATATGGCCTGTCCGGTCCGCAATGTGTTATGATGCAATGCTATGTAGTTTGGTAGATTAATACCAACATTTTGGAGGTACAGTAGAACTTGGTTATAATGTCATCAAAGGGACCTAAAAATAGTGTCGTTATAAACGCATGTCATTGTAACCGAAATGGGCACTTCCACAGTAGCCTTATGTTAGTCACGTAAAAATCTACCAAAAACCGAGTTAAAATGTTGCATTTTATAGTGAAATACCTAGTTAAGTACAGACTAACGTAACATTAACGTGGAATTGCCCAAATGTGTAATATCAAAGACATATTACAGCGCTTTTCACTGACAATACACACCGCACTAATACTGTATATTAAAGGTAGGCCTACTCACCAAATTACAGTAGATTACATCAATTGTTGTGCCTTACTGTACCTAGATACGAGTACAGTAATCAGTTATCTTCATCTGTTTCCTGTTACTTTCCCAATACACATTTTCTAAATTACGTTCAATGTCCATATCAGAGAAATTCAGGAATGAAAATGACGTTACATACGAGGTTGATGCATTTGTGCATGTCGTACTAAGCAAGGTATAAAAACAGTTGCTTTATGAGGAATTAGTTCGTACCATTGAATATTTGACGCAATATACAAGGTGTCGCAGAAACCGATGTTGCTATAACCAAGTTTTACTGTAGTACATTCCTGTGAAATGTCTGTAACAACCTACCAGACTGACAGTTTTACATCCCAGAAGACGATGTTCTTCAGGATCATCATACTTTGTTCTGATACAAAATTCTATACTAGTGATCAAATGACGGAGGATGGGATGGGTATGACATCTAGCACACATGCAATAGATTATAAATGCATACAAAATTGTAGTTGGAAAACCTAAAGTGAAGAGACTTCTTTGGAGAATAGGCATAGATAGGAGGATAATATTAAAATGGATCTGAGGAAAATAATGTTTGAAGATGTTGACTAGATTCATCTGGCTCAGGGTACGGTCCAGTTGTGTGCCATCATGGACAACGTAACAGACCTTTTGGTTCCCTTAAAGGTATGGAATTTGGTTACTAGCGGAGAGACCATTAACCTTCTTGAAAAGGAGTCCATTATTCAGTGCTGTTGATTGGTTTTCTCAAAAGCAGAATTCATGAAGCTTTGTACTGTTTCATTTTTAGTGTGTGTATCATTTGGGTTTTTGTATCAATCTGTAAAATTTTTATCCTCTTTCTGTTACACCTATAAAATACATCTGCTAAACTTAATGAAAATGGAATTCAGTTGTATTGTGGATCAAAGTAGCTAATGGTTTAATTATCATGTAAAAAGAGTAATACATCATCATCATCATCAGAGATAGGACTATGTTGGCCCATGCTTGCTGTGAAGTAAAGATAAGCTAGGCCAAGAAGAGTCAGGAATGGGAGTTGAGTGCAAGACTGGTATCTTTTTTCCATGAAACATTATATGTTTGCTGGCATATGGACCCTTTGCTAAGCGGTGACTGTAAAAAGTAACCATTGCTAGATAACACCCTCAGCATACACGCACGCAACGATAGAATGGGGTGTTCTGTGGTCCACACCATGGCTGTTTCTGGGCAGTGGCTTGGTGAACATGTGTCTGTGCCAGTGGACATGAACACAACAATAGTGGAACGGTGTTTTCTCTGTGGTCCATGCTGAGATGTTATAAGTGAGGGACAAAGTCATTTCAGTTCAGCCCCATGTGGAGGTGGGGTTGAATACCTCCACTGTGACCCTGCGAGCCATAGGAGGCGAAAAGGCAGGTTCAAAATCTGAGAGTAAAATATGACTGCGAGTTCCAAGGACTTGGATCTGAGAAAAACTTCGCTGGCAAGGGCCGGAAGCATGTACAAAAGACAGACCGACCTTATCAGAGGGTGCACCCCACAAAAACAAAACCGTAACTGTTAAACAGTAATAAATATCTGGTCATGAGTCCCAGATGGGGCTCAACACCAAGACTTACTGACTGTCAGTCGCAATGTCACTTTGACTTTGGTTTTCA